ATGCCGATGCGTCCAGCATAGACGCTGCCAAGAAGAGACTTGGCGAGTTGAAGAAAACAATGGCTGCGATGAATATCGCAGGCGGGAGCAAGGACGCTGGAAAGAAGAAGGAGCGGCTCCTCCTCAAAACCGCAAAGGTGTGTTCGAGTGTGCACCGCGATCATACACCTCTGAAGGGTACTCAAGTAGGCTGCATAGGGCACGCGTGATTACGGCGCTGCGGAGATGTTTTGTCGGGAACATGTTGAGCGCATCGTTAAGGATGTGTTCACGTCTTACGGCGGGAGCGCCCTCGATACACCTGTCTTCGAGCGCAAGGATGTACTTGCTGGAAAGTACGGCGAGGACCAGAAGCTCATTTTCGACTTGATGGACCAGGGGGGCGAACAGCTTGCGCTTCGGTATGATCATACTGTTCCTTTGGCACGGTATCTGGCTATGGCTGGTGCTACGGTCCAAGCGAAGATTTGGCAAGTCGGCAAGGTCTATCGGAGAGACAACCCTGTGATGTCAAAAGGTCGAATGCGCGAGTTCTCACAAGCAGTACGCACTTTCTCACTTATACCCGGGGTGTCTTGCATAACTTGTTGCAGGATTTGGATATTACAGGTGCATGGGACCCAATGATCCCAGATGCTGAGATCATCAGTCTACTATGCACTATCTTGACGAGATTGGATGTTGGAGAATTTACGATCAAGGTAATGTTTGTTCATACAGGGTTTCGATTTACCCTGACGCCTTTCGACCTAGCTAAATCACCGCAAAATTCTCGATGGGATCTTTGAGGTTTGTGGTGTGCCACAGGCCAAAATTCGATCGATATCCTCGGCTGTGGACAAGTTGGACAAGGTCGGTTGATAGATATGCATTCTTGTTGTTGTTCTGATTGCGTGCAGCTTCCCTGGATAGAAGTGAAGAAAGAAATGACAGAGGAGAAAGGACTTTCTTCAGATGTCGCTGATAAGATCGGAGAGTATGTCAAGCACAAAGGTAGGCCGCCTTGATTTCATGCAGAGTTAAATATCTCATCTCTTTCGTGATACAGGTGGCCCGTCGCTACTCGATATTTTGAAAGCAGATGCCACTCTTATGGCAAACCCGAGCGCCAAGCAGGGCATTTCAGACATGGATATTCTCTTTACTCTCCTGCGAGCTTACAAAGTTCTCGACAAAGTAGGCTCGTTTTCCGTGAATCGAAACATGATATTCACGTATGAATAGATCTCATTCGACATGTCTCTCGCCCGCGGTCTAGACTATTACACAGGCATCATCTATGAAGCTATCGTCGAAGCATCAGCACCACCAGCTTTTGCCGCAAACGCAGAGTCCCCAGCCCCAGTTCCCTCAAAGCCGAAGTCTTCGAAAAAAGCCAAAGCTGACGACGGCGAAGAAGATGAGTTGGACGAATCGCAGGTTGGCGTCGGGTCCATCGCTGCTGGTGGCCGGTACGATAACCTGGTTGGTATGTTCACTGCCGCCGCCGCTGCTGAAGGGAAGAAGGCACCAGCACTTCCATGCATTGGGGTTAGCATTGGTCTTGACCGGATCTTTGCGATTGTGTGGCCGAAGTGGGTGGAGAAGGGGATGCGGAGCAAGGAGACGATGGTGTATGTGTTGGCTGCTGGTGATGGCTTGTTGGAAGAGAGGATTGCACTCGTACAGGAACTCAGGGAAGCAGGCATAAAGGTTAGTCGCGCTAGCATTCTCCAAGTCATGCGTTGACTGGTCTTTCCAGACCGACTTCCTCGCAAAGAAGAAGCCGAAGCTCACTGCGCAGTTCATGGCCGGTGAAAAGGATGAAGTGCCTTTTGCTGTGATTTTGGGCGGTGATGAGCTCAAGGAAGGCTTGGTGACTATCAAGGAGCAAAAGTGGGAATTCGTGGATGGGAAGAAGACGAAGGTCCAGTCGGAAGATCAAGGCCTGAAAGTGCGGCGGGACGAACTGATTAGTTGGATCAAGCAAACACCGACATATCAAGGCTGGCCGAGCGGTCGACTTATCTAAGAGGAATATTTCACCATACCCTGTAATGCGTAGATTAGATTCGAAGCCTAGTGGCGCAACGTTGTGTGTCCATGTTTGTCCTGTCAATACTTTGTCACGAGGTTTCAACTTTTCCTGCCGATTTCCTGCTTTCTTTTCTCAACCACCACCCCGACAATTTCGACAAGGACAGCAACAATGGATGACGGTACGTTTTCAGCATCAGCCCCGACGACGACAGCCAGTTCTGCGTTCAATAGTTTCTTCTGTTCCGGCACAACCGCCTCGTACATACCAGCACTATTTTTCTCATCGCATTCATCAGTCTCATTCCGTTCTTGAATTCGGAGCAGCTGGGATGTCTTCACCACCAAATATCGGCTCAAGGCCGATAACGACCTATCTAGAAATACTGATGCGCAACTCGAGTAAACCGAGCTCTCTCGACTTCTCATACGTAGTGCGCCCTCAGTAGTTCATTCGCGTGCACTATGACGCGTACGCGCGGCACAGTATAATCGCCCCATTCCTCCTCCACCGTTCTACCCACCGCCATGAATCGACATTGATCTTGTTTTCACCCTTTCCGCCCATTCAGCCTGGCAATCACAAGATATTGCACCTTCTGGGATTAGCATTCCCACGCACGATGCCAATATGAATGGCGGACCTGCTGGTAGGGAGGAGCAGAACTGGAACGGCAGTGCTCGCTCACCTGGCAGAGATCGTGGGGGTGAACCTCCCAGGCGCTCTAGCCGCAGCAGGAGCCCCGTACGGGATGACAGAGGGTGGGTGATGTTAGAGTTTTTTCACGTCTGAGGCTGATAATATTCGTAGCCGGGGGGGTGACAGCGGTGGTCACAACCCTGGAAACAATCTTCATGTGTCAAACCTAAGTCACCGTGTTGATACGCGTGACCTCGAAGCAGTGTTCGCTAAAATTGGCCGTGTACGTGTCGTCCTGTGATTTTATTTCCTGGTGCTGATCCAATAGGAATAGGTCAAAAAGGCTTCTGTCATGTACGACCCGCATACCCGCGAGTCTCGTGGGTTCGGATTCGTCACCATGGAGACTTCTGAGGAGGCAGATGCTGCCATCACCGCGCTCAATGCGACCGAAATCATGGGGAAAATTGCCACCGTAGAAAGAGTATATACCCTCATACTTTTGGATTTTGCCAACATTTATTGATTTGACGTTTAGGCCCGCCGCGGACGTGCGCGTACTCCGACGCCTGGAAGGTACTACGGCCCTCCCAAGCGCCATGATAGTAAGTATTTGTGTTGTCAGAGTATTCTTTGGTTCTCACAGTTCTCGAATAGATGAGCGCCCGTACGACCCGCGCCCTTATGACAGCCGCTATTCCCGTGACTATGATGATCGTCGTCGTGGAGGTCGTCCTGATGAGTATCGAGGAGGTGGTGGTGGTGGTGGTGGTGGCGGCGGCGGCGGCAGGGACTACGATCGCGGTGGCTACCGTGACTATGACCGAGGATATAGTGGCGGTGGTGGTGGGGGCGGTGGTGGCCGCGGCAGTCGCGACTACGATCCTCGTGGCCACGACTACGACAGGAGATACTAAATGTGCCCGCTCTCAACACGGATCATCTCGCGTTATGTTTTGCTTTCGTTAATATGTATTCCATAAGTAACTCTGGTGAATAAAGCCTGTTGCACGATGGATCATGAATGCAATGTATGAATCCACTTTGATCTCGAGCTTTTCCACTCTACACATGTATCGACGTTGTTAAACTGCTTTTGCACGTTGGACTAGCCAAGTAATACAACAATGCAGCACACTACATTGCACCTTGGGTCGAATGAGCACTTTCTGTAAATTTGCAGGTGATCGGCGGTCCTTCCTTATATGTGAATTGTTGTTTTTCTAGCCCATTGCTTTCGCAAATAACGTTCCAGAATCCAGAATGATACTATGGCCCAATCCTAATACAGAGAGAACTCACAATCTCGTCTGACTATTTTGCTTCTCCCTGCTATCGGAGACTAATTATTAGTTTGTCATAGGTCCGAGTCCTCTACGATGACCGAGTGATGCGTTGCAAATCGGCGTGTCGTCCAAGTCTTCACCTATTCGCAATGAGCGAAGGAACTTCATCCACAAACGTCGAGATCAACCGTTTGGCAAGTTGCAAGGTGATAGCTTGAAGAGGAGTTGAGGGAGTGCAGGCATGAGGCTGGACAATAATGATGTCTCTGATTTGGCTGCGGCAAAGACGAAAGGTAGGTGTTAATTGGAGCAGTAGACAAATAATTATTGTCAATAGTGAATATACACAGGGCGCTATCCTATGCATCTGCAAGGTGTTCAGGGTGAGTGAGTTATCAGTAGCGTAGTCAGCCAAGAAAAATCGTTTATCGTTGGCCTGCAGGCTGCAGTTTGCCAGCTATGCCGCATGCGGGAGACTATTAGGGCCGGCATTTATGAGGAGATAACGTATGCTTCGTAATACGCTACTATGGGAATTCTTGCAAGTGTGCGAGATGCCCTGCACACTAGTACTAGTACTACTTCACCTCGCAGCCTTCGTTTCGACTGCTTTAATCAATATCACACTCACAATGTGCCTCTGCTGTGCCAATGTGATGCCCGTTATAAATGAGGCTATGAATGTCTCGAAATTCTTTGAGTCGCTTCTGTCTTCCTGGCCAGGCCATCACGGTGTGGATACCACGTGCATGCTGTGATTACCTCCTTCATAATCCATCAGCACCTCACAAGACTTGCAGTATTTTCATGACTTCCAGCGCATATCTTGTTCTCAAGTGTTAGTTTGAATCCATCCCTTAGAAGTATGTCAAGATTCGTCCCTCGTCATTTTAATGACTACCCTTCAGGACAGAACCCAGAACGTCTCCAGGGCACGGGACAGATCAACCTCGTGGTCACTGAAACGCTACAAGTTGTCGTCAATAGTATGTGTTACATCTATCCTCATAGCACGTACCAATGATTTCCCAAAGTATTTCTGGCGACACTTTATTTCGTCATCAATCTGCTGTTTTGTTTTGTGACAGACTCCGTGTCCGACCCGCACTTTGATACCCTCCAAGCCTTGGGTGAGGAGCCAGGCCAACCAGAACAACCCCAGGATTCGGAAGAGACAAACCTCGTGATCAGTGAAATGCTACTACAAGTCACCACCAGTATGTGCCATCTACCTTGACTCATCACGTGGTATCTATGATTTCCCATGACAGATTCCGTGTCGGATGACTCGGATCCACTCAATGATACCCTCCCAACCCTGGGTGAAGATCTAAGCCATCCAGAACAACCTCAGGACCCGGAAGAGACGCAAATTAGTAGAGTGCAACAGGTCATCATTGTTGGTATGTAATATCAATCTCCGTTTAGCACATATTAACGATTTCCAAGCCATTTGCGCAACTGATCTCACCCTTGGTCTCCGACGGATCCCTGCTGGTTTCCATGTGGTAGTAAAGACTGACGGTGCTGAGTGCCGAACAACCAACAAGTCTGTACACGTAGATCAGACTGTCGTCGAATGGAACGAGCCCATATTTTTGTAAGTTATCCTTGACCCTGTCTTCCCTGCGGGTATTGAGAAAGACTCTAGACCATGTGGGCCATCTTCTATAGTTCGAGTCAGCGTGTATGCCTCGTTTGAACTGGGTCCCATGCTCTGTCACGGAGAACTCCTCCGCACATTCGAGATCTCCGTCAGAGAATTACTGGATCGCAGTGAAAAATCGCTTCGTTAGTATTTTTTGTTGTAAATAACGCCTGACAGATGCTAATAAGTATCACAGCCATGATCTTTCAGCCCAAGCAGGGGGAAGTCGTATCGGCTTGTACATCGCTGTTCATGACAGTGGAGCAGCGACTCTCTGATAAAAAGGACAGCGCAGTTTTTTGCCCCCTCACTACCGTGAGTGGTCAATGCAGTCTGACATTCTGACGCTGAGAACTGTAATGTGTAGCTTACATCCCGCGATATGGATGCGTTAGCACTAAAGACGGACGCCGGACATCGTCTTCTCGCACGACACCGCAGGACGCAGAACGGCAGTGATCTTGACCAATCCATAAAACACTTTGAACGCGCTTCGGATCTCTGCCCCATGGACCATCCATACCGTTCTGCAGCCCTATTCAATCTAGCCACCGCAAACTTTGTTAGTTGCCAAGCTGACGGAAGATACCTCGACCTCGACGCCCCTATCACTCTATTTCAAGATGCACTTGACTTACGTCCTACTGGTCATCTAGACCGAACCGTCACCCAGCTTCATCTTGCTATTGCTCTGCTCTCTCGGTTCGCGAAACGGGGAGTTCAAACGGATGCTGATGCAGCTGAAGAGTTACTGAACGAAGTCCTTGATGTCTGCCACGCCAACAGCCACATTTACAGAGCAGCCTTGATTGCAATCGAAACATCCGCTGCGCATTCAACTGGAAGTATCGATGGAGATGACGGCAGGCAGGAGTGGCCCGCCGCATCCATGCTTCCATTATCGCCAAATCAACTTGCTCATCGAGTAGAACGGTATTTGCAGGGGGATGAACCTAGCGCCTTAGATGAAGTGATATCACTTCACTATGATGCACTGGGATACTACAACATCGGGCATCCTTACCGAGAGCAATTACTATACAATCTCGCGATAGTGCTGCAAATTCGGTTCGAGCGTCAAGGCGACGACGACGACTTGGATCAGGCTATCGCATTCAATATGGAAGTGATGGCCTTGTTTCCGGTCGGTCACACAGATCGGTACAAGTCATTGAACAACCTCGCGACTGCACTCTCCATCCGCTTTGAGCACCGAGGCAACGAAGAAGACTTGGATCAAGCCATCATACTTCAGAGGGAAGCGCTGGCATTGTGCCCAGTTGGTCACACAGATCGGTCCATGTCATTGAACAACCTCGCGAATCGACTCTCCACCCGCTTTGAGCACCGAGGCAATGGCGAAGACTTGGATCAAGCCATCGCACTTCACAGGGAAGCGCTAGCCTTGCGCCCGGTCGGTCACACAGATCGGCCCCCGTCATTACACAACCTTGCGACTCAACTCTCCTTCCGCTTTTACCACAGAGGCAACGACAAAGATTTGGATCAGGCTATCGCACTTCACAGGGAAGCGCTGGCCTTGCGCCCGGTCGGTCATACAGATCGGTACAAGGCATTAAACAGCCTCGCGGCTCCGCTCTCCATCCGCTTTGAGCACCGGGGCAATGACGAAGACTTGGATCAGGCTATCGCACTGTACAGGGAAGCGCTGGCATTGTGCCCAGTTGGTCACACAGATCGGTTAAAGACATTAAACGACCTCGCGAATCGACTCTCCTCCCTCTTTTCCTACCGAGGTAACGACGAAGACTTGGATCAGGCGATCGCACTTGAGAGAGAAGCGCTGGCTTTGTGCCCGGTCGGTCACGTAGATCGGTCCAAATTATTAAATAACCTTGCGATACAACTCTCCGCCCGCTTTTGGCACCGAGGCAATGACGAAGACTTGCATCAGGCTACCGCACTTCTTCGAGAAGCGCTGGCTTTGCGGCCAGTCGGTCGCGCAAATCGGTCCCACCCATTAAACAACCTCGCGAGTCAACTCTCCTCCCAATTTCGTCACACAGGCAACGACAAAGACTTGGATGAGGCTATCGCACTTCATACAGAAGGGCTGGCCTTACGCCCGGTCGGTCACACAGATCGGTCCATATCATTAAATAACCTTGCGGTTCAACTCTCCACCCGCTTTGAGCACCGAGGCAATGACGAAGACTTGGATCAAGCCATCGCACTTCACAGGGAAGCGCTAGCCTTGCGCCCGGTCGGTCACACAGATCGGTCCTCGTCATTACATGACCTTGCGAATCAACTCCACACCCGCTTTGAGCATCAACACAACAGAGAGGACCTCGACGAGTCACGAGAGAACCTACACTATGCATTAACTCTGTTGACGCAACATGATCCTCGTCAATTACTAGTTCATAGCTCGCTAGCTAACGTCTATCTATCATTCCATCATTCAAGTCTTGACGGCACCAGCACCGGCGAAGATACGGACAGTCTGAATGCTGCCATGCATCATATCAAGGCAGCAGCAAATGTCATTTCTGGAGGCTTACGAACCCGCCTGCGAGCAAGTCTACACTGGGTGGACTATGCTAGTCGACATTCACATGGTACTCAACTGGAGGCTTACGGGACCTCTATGCAACTTCTAGACGCTTACATGTCTGCGACAGTCTCTGTATCGTCTCGTCTTAATGCCATGAACATGAAGGAATTCCCAAGTACGCTTGCCGTGGATGCTGCGTCATGTGCACTTCGCAGTGGCGATGTTCCTCGCGCTGTTGAGTTGTTGGAGCAAGGCAGGACTGTCCTCTGGACCCAGATGACACGACTCCGCACGCCTCTTGAAAGCCTACAGACTCGCGGCGATCATGCAGTAGCCCTGATGAAGAGATTTAGACACCTCAGCTCCCTTCTTGACAAACCTACTGCGAGTGATCCAGAAAGGACCCCAAGAGTCGATGTAGAAGCAGAAGAAACCCGGTACAGACGTCTAGTGCAGGACTGGAATAGACTTGTAGAAGAGATCCGGAAGATCGAGGGCTTTTCTCGCTTCCTACTTCCCCCTTTGTTCTCCGATCTTCAAGATGCAGCTCGTGATGGGCCTATCATCGTGCTTATCGCAAGCCGGTCGTCTTGCCATGCCATTATCATCTCGCACAAGCGACCTCCGGCTAGCATTCAACTCCCTACCGATTTTCAGAAACTTGCCAAAGTGGTAATCGCACTCCAAAATGCAGTTCGCAAAGAGGCCGGTCCTAACGGGAACCAATCAGCATTGATAAAAGCTTTGAGGGAGTTGTGGGATGGTGTCGTCCGCCCAGTGGTAGAGAATCTGAACGGATTTGCTCCACGAGGTTCCCGAATATGGTGGTGCCCGACGTCTCTCTTCAGTTTCTTGCCGTTGCACGCTGCTGGCGAGTACAGGGCAAATGGAGAGTCCCTTTCGCAACAATATATCTCTTCGTATACGCCATCACTCGCCGCGCTGATGAAGGCTCGCGGAAGTCATGACCGGTCCCCGTCGGTGCCCTTCGTTGCCATCGGTCAGAATCTCCCAGCCGGTGCCTCATTAATTTTGGATGCTGTGGAGCCTGAACTGGAATTGGTGCGGAGTCTTTTGCCCCCTCCCCCAACTGTCTCCTTCTCCAAGATAACCAGTGTCGATGCTACGAAATCGAGAGCACTGTGCGCATTGCGAGACAATACTTGGCTCCATCTCGCTTGTCACGGGACACAAAGATTTGACGAACCCTTCAAGTCGGCCTTTCTTATGCGCGACCAGCCGCTTTCACTCCTCGACATCACCCAAATGGATCTCTCTCAGCATCAATTCGCATTTCTTTCTGCCTGTGAAACCGCAGTCGGTGCCTTTAGTACGCCCGACGAAGTGATACACCTAGCGGCTGGCCTGCAATTCGCCGGGGTTAAGAGCGTCGTTGGGACATTGTGGAAAGTCAATGACAGTACTGTGCAGTGCTTAGTCAAGGCATTCTACAAAAACTTGTGCGGGGATGGCACAATGAATTCCAAACGAGCTGCTCGGGCGCTGCACCGAGCGGTCCAGTCGTTGGCTTGTGACAGGGACATACCCTTGGACCAGCGCATAGTGTTTGTGCATATTGGCATATGATCAATTCCGTGCGTCTTCCCACCTTGATCAAAGCATTCTTGAGACAATCTGACGACTTCGCATGTAGGACCCAGTGATGACCACACGCAAGGACTTTCGATATTCCAGACTTTGAGACTGTATACCTCCACAACACAAGACACAAGTTTCGATGAACGCGATAGTAATAGTCGGACGTTTGAATCGCGCCGTGAGGGTATTGAATGCACTCCCACTCACCATGCAGCACCGAAAGCCAGTGCTCATGAAGAGCTTGGCCCTGGCAGGATAGACTGACCATAGACGAATGAAAATAAGCAGTCGTCCGTCCTCTCTTCGGAATAGATACTAAAAGTGTTGTGTGTAAAGCACACAATCAGATTGAAATCGCAAAACGTTGAGTCAAGACGTAAATCATACAGTACAGATAATAACGGTGTTGTAAAATGTGCGCATTGTGCGTCAGAAGAATGAGACAGATGAACCACCTGTACTGAGTGTATGGTCAGTCTGAATCGTTCGCCTGCAATAAGCAAATGATCTATACATCGTACAAGCGTTGTCCTTGGATGATATATGAATCTACTTATACTGGAATGGGGCTGATTGAATAGTCCGAGAACTCACAGTCTGGTCCGAGTCTGACTGTCTCCCTTCTGTCCGCCATCGGATTGCTAAAGCCATTAATTTGAAAAGAAATAGCCATGTAAATGTGGGAATGATATATGAGATGATGATTGCTCAACAAGAGTCAACTCCGGTTAATTATTAGTTTGTCATAGGCCCTATCGAGTGATGCGCCGCGAATCGGCGTGTCACCCAAATCTTCGACTATTCGCAATGAACGAAGGAACTCCGTCGAGATCAACCGTTTGGCAAGTTGGTAAAAGTATGGAGAGGAATTGTGGGAGTGCGTGGCGGCCCATGTGCATAAGGCAGGACAACATGTCCAACAAAGGCTCCAATTTGTGGCTGCAGCAAAAACGAAGGTTGGTCTTTTGTTGAGCAGATGCTAGTAGTTAGGACCGTCACGTTCAGACAGCATCCATGACTCAAGATTACGTAGATGCTCCCTCCAAAAGATGTAATTATGTATGCATTGAAGCACATTCTATTTACTCGCTGCAGCTGGTGATCCATGCCTTCTCCTGCAACATGTTATCTGACAGCAGTAGGATGACCTGTTGATATGTCAAGCTTGGGCGGTGACATGGACATTCAGGAGTGCTTCGCAATACGCGCGAAAATGCGGAATGCCCTGCTTTACTTCAGCCTCGCACCCTACAATGTGGCTCTGGTGTAGAAATCTGATGCCTGTCGTAAATGAGGCTATGGGTGACTCGGGCTCGATATTATGCGTCGTTTCTGTCCTGTTGGGCCATCGGTACTGCATGGTGTGGATACCACGTGCATCCTGTGATTCCCTCCTTCATCAGCATCTCACAGGTTCTACAATCTTTTCGTGACCTGCCGCAGCACACATCTTATTCTCAAGTGTCAGTTTGAATCCATCCCTCAGTCATGTCAAGATTCGTCCCTGGCCATTTCGATGACTACCATCCACCCTTGGGAGAGAACCCAGAACGCCTCCAGGACACGGGACAGATAAACCTCGTGATCAGTGCAACGCTACAAGTTGTCGTCAATAGTATGTGTCTCATCTATCTTCATTTAGCACGTACCAATAAATTCCCAAAGCAATTCTGGCGACATTTTATTTCGTCATTGATCTGCTGTTTTGTTTGGCGACAGACTCTGTGGGCGACCTGCTCGATGATACCCTCCAAGCCTTGCGTGAGGAGCCAAGCCAACCAGCACAACCCCAGGATCCGGTAGAGACAAACCTTGTGATCAATGAAATGCTACAAGTCACCATCAACAGTATGTGCCATCTACCTTCCCTCAGCACGTGGTACCTATGATTTCCCATGTCAGGTTCCGTGTCGGATCCACTTGATGATACCCTCCCGGCCTTGGGTGAGGAACTAAGCCATCCAGAACAGTACCAGGACCTGAGAGACACACACATGACTAGAGTGCAACGGGTCGTCGTCACTGGTATGTGATATCAATATCCGTTTAGCAGATATTGACGATTTCCAAGCTATTCGCGCAACTGATCTTACCCTTGGTCTCCGGCGGATCCCTACTGGCTTCCACGTGGTAGTAAAGACTGATAGTGCCGAGTGCCAAACAAGCAACAAGCCTGTGTACGTAGACCAGGTGGTCGTCGAATGGAACGAGCCCATACTTCTGTAAGCTGTCCTTCACCCCGTCTTTCCTGCAGGTATTAACAAAAACTCTAGGCCATGCAGGCCATCTTCTATAGTTCGAGTCACCGTGTATGCCTCGTTTGAACTGGGTCCCATGCTCTGTCATGGAGAGGTCCTCCGCACATTCGAGATCTCCGTTAGAGAATTACTGGATCGCAGCGAAAAATTGCATCGTCAGTATTGTCCATTGCAAATAACGCCTGACAGATTTTAACGAGTATCACAGCCCTAATCTTTCAGCCTAAGCAGGGGGAAGCCGTATCCCCATGTACTTCACTGTTGATGACACTGGAGCAGCGACTCTCTGATCAAAAGGACATTGCAGTTCTTTGCCCCCGTACTACCGTGAGTGATCAATGCAGCCTGGCATTCTGATTCTGAGAGCTGTAATGTATAGTTTACATCCCGCGATATGGATGCGTTAGCACTGAAGACGGATGCTGGACATCGTCTTCTCGCACGATACCGCAGGACGCAGAACAGTAGTAATCTCGACCAATCCATAAAGCACTTTGAACGTGCCTTGGATCTCTGCCCCGTGGACCACCCCTACCGTCCTGCAGCCCTATTTAATCTAGCCACCGCAAAGTTTGTTAGTTGCCAAGCTGACGGAAGATACCTCGACCTTGACGCCCCTATCACTCTATTTCAAGATGCACTTGATTTGCGTCCCATTGGTCATCTGGACCGAACCGTCACCCAGCTCCATCTTGCCATTTCTCTGTTGTCTCGCTTCACAAAACAGGGATTTCAAACGGATGCAGATATGGCTGAAGAGTTACTGAGTGAAGTTCTCGATGTCTGCCACGTCAACAGCCATGTTTACAGAGCAGCTTTGATTACAATCGATGCATCCGCTCTGCATTCTGCTGGAAGCATTGATATAAATGATCTTGGGCAGGAGCAGCCCGCCGCATCCATACTTCCATTAGCGCCGGATCAACTTGTTGATCGAGCAAAGCAGTGTTTGCAGAGAGATGAGCCCCGTGACTTAGATGAAGTGATATCCCTTCATTATGATGCACTGGGATACTATAACACAGGGCATGCTCGCCGAGGGCAATTGCTATGTAATCTGGCTGTAATGCTGGAAATTCGCTTCGAGCGTCGAGGCAATGATAAAGACTTCGATCAAGCTATCGCACTTCAGATGGAAGTGCTGGCTTTGATCCCGGTCGGTCACACCTATCGGTACAAGGCATTAGACAACCTCGCGAATCACCTCTCCATTCGCTTTAAGCGCCGAGGCAACGACGAAGACTTAGATCAGGCTATCACACTTCGCAGGGAAGCGCTGGCTTTGTGCCCAGTCGGTCACACAGATCGGTTTTTGCTAATAAGTAACCTCGCGGCTCAACTCTCCATCCACTTTCACCATCGAAGCAATGCTGAAGACTTGGATCAGGCGATTGCACTTCAGAGGGAAACTCTAGCTTTCTGCCCAGTCGGTCACACAGATCGGTCTGTGTTATTAAACAACCTCGCGACTCATCTCTCCACTTGCTTTGATCACCAAGGCAATGGCGAAGACTTGGATCAGGCTATCGCACTTCACAGAGAAGCGCTAGCCTTGCGCCCAGTCGGTCACATAGATCGGTTCATGTCGTTAAACAACCTCGCAATTCAACTCTCCATCCGCTTTGAGCACAGAGGCAATAATGACGACGTCGATCAGGCTATTGCACTTCAGACGGAAGCGCTGGCTTTGCTCCCAGCCTGTCACACAGATCGGTTTGCACCAATAAGTAACCTGGCGAGCCAACTCGATATCCGCTTTGAGCACCGAGGTAACGACAAAGACTTGGATCAGGCGATCGCACTCGGGAGAGAAGCGTTGGCTTTGCTCCCAGTCGGTCACACAGATCGGTCTAAGTCATTGAACAACCTCGCGAATCAAATCTCCTCCCGTTTTTTCCACAGGGGCGACTACGAAGATTTGACTCGGGCGATTGCACTTCACAGGGAAGCACTGACTCTGCGCCCAGTTGGTCACACAGATCGGCCCTCGTCATTACATAACCTTGCCAATCAACTCTCCATCCGCTTTGAGCACCGACGCAACGACGAAGACTTGGATCAGGCGATTGCACTTGAGAGGGAAGCACTGGCTTTGTGCACGGTCGGCCACAAAGATCGATCTGCGTCGATGAGTAACCTCAGGAGTCAACTTTCCATCCGCTTTCAGCACCGAGGCAATGACGAAGACTTGGATCAGGCTATCGCACTTCACATGGGAGCGCTGGCTTTGTGCCCAGTCGGTCATACAGATCGGTGCAGATCATTAAACAGTCTCGCGTATCAAATCTCTTCCCGCTTTAAGCATCGAGGCAACGACAAAGACTTGGATCAGGCGATTGAACTTCAGAGAGAAGCGCTGGCTTTGTGCCCGGTCGGTCACAGAGATCGATCCATGTTATTAAATCACTTTGTGATGCAGCTCTCCTTCCGCAGTGAGCACCGAGGTAATGACGAAGACTTGGATCAGGTTACCGCACTTCTTCGGGAAGTGCTGGCTTTGTGCCCAGTCAGTCACACACATCGGCCCTCGTCATTACACAGCCTCGCGAATCATCTCTCTATCCGCTTTAAGTACCGAGGCAATGACAAAGACTTGGATCAGGCTATCGCACTCCAGACGGAAGCACTGGCCTTGCACCCGGTCGGTCACAGAGATCGGTCCATGTCATTAAACAACCTCGCGAATCACCTCTCCATCCGCTTTCATTACCGAGGCAATGACGAAGACTTGGATCAGGCTATCGCACTTCACAGAGAAGCGCTAGCCTTGCGGCCGGTCTGTCACACAGATCGGTCCTCGTCATTATATAACCTTGCTAATCAACTCTCCACCCGCTTTGAGCATCAACACAACAAAGAAGACCTCGACGAGTCACGAGAGAACCTACACTGTGCATTGGCTCTGTTGACGCAACATGATCCTCGTCAATTACTAGTCCACAGGTCACTAGCTGACGTCTATCTATCATTCCATCATTCAGACCTTCACGGCACAAGCACAGGCGAAGATATGGACGATCTGAATGCTGCCATGCACCATATCAAGGCAGCAGCAAATGTTGTCTCTGGAGGCTTGCTATCCCGCCTACGAGCAAGTCTACGCTGGGCGCACTATGCTAGTCGACATTCACATGGTACTCAACTGGAGGCTTATGCAACTTCCATGCAACTTCTGGACGCTTACATGTATATGACAGCTTCGGTATCGTCTCGTCGTGATGCCATGAAGGAATTCCCAAGTACGCTTGCTGTTGATGCTGCATCGTGTGCTCTTCGCAGTGGTGACGTGCGTCGTGCTGTTGAGTTGTTGGAGCAAGGCAGGACTATCATCTGGACACAGATGGCACGACTCCGCACGCCTCTTGACAGCCTTCAGACTCGCGGTGATCATGCAGTGGCTCTGATGAAGAGATTCAGAGACCTCAGCTCCCTCCTTGATAAACCTCGTGCGAGCCATTTAGAAGGGACCACAAGAGTCAATATAGAAGCAGAAGAAACCCGGTACAGACGTCTAGTGGAGGACTGGAATAGAGTTGTAGAAGAGATCCGGAAGATCGAGGGCTTTTCTCGCTTCCTACTTCCCCCTTTGTTCTCCGATCTTCAAGATGCAGCTCGTGATGGCCCTCTCATTGTTCCCATCACAAGCGTGTCGTCTTGTCATGCTATTATAATACCGCACAAGAAAGCTCCGACTAGCCTTCAACTCCCTATCAATTTTGAAAAACTCCGGAGATTGGTGCTCGCACTCCAGATGGCGATCAATAAAGAGGCCGGTCCCAAAGGGAGCCAACCAGCGCTAACAAAGGCTTTGAGGGAGCTGTGGGACGGCGTCGTCTGCCCGGTGGTCAGGAGTCTGGGCGGATTTGCACAACGAGGTTCCCGAATATGGTGGTGCCTGACGACTTTCTTCAATTTCTTGCCATTACACGCTGCTGGCGAGTACAGGGCAAATGGAGAGTCCCTTTCGCAGCAATATATCTCTTCATACACGCCATCGCTTACCGCGCTGATAAAGGCTCGCAGGCATGTTAGGTCCCCGTCAGTGTCCTTTGCTGCCATTGGTCAGAATCTCCCGGCCGGTGCTTTATTTGCTTTGGATGGTGTAGAACCTGAGCTGGAATTGGTGCGGAGTCTCTTACCTTCAAGTGTTTCCTTTACCAAGGTGACAAGTGTCGATGCAACAAAATCGAGAGCACTACATGCATTGCAGGATAATACTTGGCTTCATTTCGCGTGTCATGGGACACAGAGATTCGACAAACCCTTCAATTCAGCCTTTCTCATGCGTGACCAACCGCTTTCCCTCCTTGATATAACCCAAATGGATCTCTCTCAGCATCAATTTGCATTTCTTTCTGCCTGCGAAACCGCACTTGGTGAGCCTACAACACCCGACGAAGTGATCTTTGGGGGACGCTCTAACGTTTTGAGAGAAGGGATACTGTTCAAATGTATTGGGTGCGTAGCTATGGTACAGTTTGACTAGGTAATGAAGCGCTAAGACAATGGGCGATAGCGCGAAACGCTAACCGGCCCCAATCGAAGATCTGCCGGGGTGGTGTGAGCTGCGAATCCCTTGAACAGTAGGAGTCCACGACGACGCATCGCAGCGACGCCGTAGAACCCCAAAATGGTAGGAGGAGAGGACTACTCACGGGAGGGAAGATGGTTGAATAGTTCTCGGCAACACGAACCTTACGAAGTTTTCGTGGAAGGCGGGTACAGCCTGCATATACGGTGCCATGATTTGAGCGTGCTTTTGAAGGTACAGCAGAAACGCATCACTGCTCCATCGTCCTTTTGCCTTGACGACCTCAAAAGGAACATTTCATAATAGGTATTCGAGGGTGGACCCTATGCGAATTCCGTGTCCTTGCAAAGGGTCCATTCCTGCCGCTCTAGCTGCTTGAGCGAGACGAGATATAAACTTCTGTTTTGTTAACGGACGATGGCCGTTCTTAAATCGATAAGCGAAAAGAGCGCCGCCCGGCGGGGGCTCGTTAACTCTTAAGTGGTGCAGAAATGCGCTCTCAGGATCTGAGGGACCGTTTTGTTGCGCGAATGATACTTCTTGGCCTTCTGCCGCTGTCTTGGTGCGAGGAATGTGGAACACCCGCATCTGAAGGTTGTTACGGTCTCAATCGATCCGCATGTCCGAGAGTTTGACGTGGATATTTGGATCAAAGGCGGAGAGGTTAGGAACTGTGAATTTGCCAACACGCGCCGTGCAATAGAATGCTGTAACGAGACAACCGAAGACAGCTGCGTCTAGGGGGGAGTCGAGGTTAAGGTGTCCGCGCAGGGTACAAATGAATTCGACCGTGAATGGGCGCCGTTTCTTGCGCTTTGAAGTTATGGGAGTGAGGTTTTCTGTTGCCTTGAGGAGCGCATCGATCTGTACATCGTCGAGCGACCAGTCTAGTCCGTGCAAAATGTGCCAAGCATGCACACCGAATACATAGTTTGCTATGGTTTTTCCAGAGTACGAACCTGCTGCGGCCGCGATGAAGGCGGAGATGAGAACAGATGATGCTGGGGCTCGGTCGATTTCGGGGATCGCACAGGAGTCGCAGAAAACGTGGTAGACAAGTAGGCCGGATCCATATGATTCATGGGTACTTGCAGCCCAGGTGTGGCACATTACATCTTGAATGCGTGTCAGGTCGTTGGTCGACAGGGAGTGTGCTTTCGATCTTGACGCGGCTGGGAGCCATAAACGGAGGCGTTCTTTGGCTGTGCAATGTGGGCGCAGCGATGATGGCAGCAGATGGAGACTAGCAGGGTAAGCTAAACAGATGTTAGTTGGTGGGCTCTGGCGCTGTGTGCATGGGAGAGCACATACTAGGCTTGCGACGTTTGGAAAAGTTCTTCCCCTTGTCGTTCGAGGACTCTGTTTGCGAGGGCGCGTTCAGCGTCCCTACGCCAGACCATTCAGTCAAAACCCCACGTAGAACCTGTACCCCGGACATGCCAAAAGGCTGTAGACCATGTGCAGCCAGAGGCTGGCCAGCTGTACTAAATTTATGTAGATGTGGCACTGGCCAGCCCGTAGAGGCTTATCCTAGCCAATATCAATTCTACATACAGTAATATTCTACTAGCTATATACTAGAGTACCAGACCTGCCAGAGATGTAGGACAAGTGCTGGCCAGATATTGAATGGGAGATAGGAGACCCGTAGAAACTGACCAGCCAGACATGTAGAGCCTGTGCTGGCCAGATATTGAATGGGAGGTAGGAGACCTGTAGAAACTGACCAGCCAGACATGTAGAGCCTGTGCTGGCCAGAAGTAAAATGGGATGTAGGAGACTGGTAAAAACTGACCAGCCAGAGACCCAGAGCCTGTGCTGGCCAGAAGTGAAATGGGATGTAGGAGACCCGTAGAAACTGACCAGCCAGACCTGTAGAGTCTGTGCTGGCCAGATATCAAATGGCAGGTAGCAGGCCCGTAGAAACTAACCAGCCAGAGACCTAGAGCCTGTGCTGGCCAGATATCAAATGGCAGGTAGGAGACCCGTAGAAACTGACCAGCCAGACATGTAGAGCCTGTGCTGGCCAGATATTGAATGGGAGGTAGGAGACCCGTAGAAACTGACCAGCCAGACATGTAGAGCCTGTGCTGGCCAGAAGTGAAATGGAAGGTAGGAGACTGGTAAAAACTGACCAGCCAGAGACCTAGAGCCTGTGCTGGCCAGAAGTGAAATGGGAGGTAGGAGACCCGTAGAAACTGACCAGCCAGACATGTAGAGCCTGTGCTGGCCAGATATCAATTGGCAGGTAGGAGACCTGTAGAAACTGACCAGCCAGACATGTAGAGCCTGTGCTGGCCAGAAGTGAAATGGAAGGTAGGAGACCCGTAGAAACTGACCAGCCAGAGACCTAGAGCCTGTGCTGGCCAGAAGTGAAATGGGAGGTAGCTGACTGGTAGAATTCAAACAAGTACCAGAAGCAAGTCCAGCATATTTTTTCTCTGAACACCAAAATCACAAGGGTGGTATAATGGTGATAATATAGTTAAGATACCATAATCATCTTGTCCTTGAATGAATTCTCTGCATTGAGCACAAATCTTTCCCATAAGAGCACCTGCCGTTGTGCATAAGCTTGATGCCCAAGCCTTGTGGCTTGTTGATATCTTTTGTCCCATTCACCCATCTTGTGCCTAAACCAGCCAACCGTCCAACCCATCTCATGCCGAACCAAATTTAATTCCTCCTCCCACCTTTGCCACCTAGCCTTAGCTTTTAACCAATTGACCCTGTAGACTAATACTTGTGGTAAGAATGCATGTTGACGATTAAGTACCACTCACATTCATCCATCCACAAGTCTTGGTGAACATCACCACCATTGTTGACCCTCCAAAACCAAGCTAGTCTGTCTGATCCCTGACCATATCTATTCTCCTCTGTCACTTCCTGGTTTACGGTGAGCTGGTTGGGCTGAATTTGTTGATAAACATTCCTGAGAGTTTCTTCATCCACCCCTAGTCTCCCCATGGCATCCCTTGCCCTTTGATAACTTCGAACACACTTATCTATTTTTATTCGGCACCGAAAAGCCTCTTGCTTTGACCTGGTGCCCACCCAGGTAGAATCCGAACTCCGGAAGTGTTGCCGATAAATGATTGCTTTATGACCAAGGGCCTGCCGTAACCTTTCTAGGCAATCATTTGCCTGACCCTGCCGTAACTGGAGTTCTTCGCTCCGCAGAGCACCCAAGTCAAGGGCTAGAGCATCCTGGTGTGATATTGATGACGGCATCCAAATACCCATCACTTCTGCAGGAACTTCATCACCGATCTCTTCTGAAGTAAACTCAACATCTCCAACTTCTTGCCCTAGCTCCTCGGTATCTGCTGTGCAAAACCTGATGTCATCCATGGGCATTGTACCTGAGTTTAATTCGATGCCTTGCGTCATGGCATCAGTTTTTTCGTGATATTTTGAGATCCGGACAGCTAATTTTTGACGTTTCTCTGCCACCACAGCCTTTTGAGTAGCAGATGCATCTTGGGGAAGCTGCCGAATATCTACTCGCAATGCATCCCTAGGGCTGAATTGAAACATGTGTGAATGCAAAGGTGATTAAATGACTTACTGTGCATCCTCCAAATTGATACCTTCAATAAGCCAAGATACCGATCCCAATTTGCCAGTATCAGCATATTCGGTTTCGGTTAATTTAAGCCGTATTTCTGCCATTGTTGGTGCTTCGAATCACCCATCAGAATGTACATGGCATGGAAGCCGGTAGAAGCTCTGGAACACTCACCTTTATCTATTCTTAGATGGTATATGTCGAGATGCTCCCCCCTCAGCTCCATTGCTTGTTTCTCATCACTTTCCCACAAGCTGACTTTGTTGACATCCAAAGATTTCGTAAGATCTTCAAATGGAATCCTTGTGTCATCAATGCCCTTATCCGCACGTTTGTACTTTCGTAACAGGGTCTTAACTGATAATATTTAATCAAAGTCTCATTGATTCCAAATATGAGACTCACTGATACCAACAAGTTTTTTCCAATTCGAGTTCCGCATATGGTCATCAAGGATTTCTTGACGGTGGGCTTGACTCATGGAACGGGCTGTTGGGGATATCTTATTGAAGGGAGCCCAGAGTGTCTCCATGATTTCGCCATCAACCTGGGCAGCTCCAACAATGAAGTTCAGGCTGTATCTAGCAAAACAAGCTAGTTTATGAGCGCTGAGATGAAATTTCCCTACAGCAGCTATAATCTCCACATTGTCAGGGAGCGTCAGGGCAGGGCAGTTGTCAACACGCTCTGCAAAGTGAAGGTTCCACTGACACCCCACATCATAAATGACGAGAGAGGTATCAATTCGGTCCCCAGAGTGCTTAATACCCTCACATATGGAGTAATCTATATTCATGTGGCTTAACAGGATTTTGTCAGCATATTTAGGTCATCACATAATAAATCAAAGAAGACTTGCCGTTCACCCTTCTGGAAGTCTACTACAGAGTGTGGAACAAAACATCCATGCCTAGCACAAGCTGTGGCACCCACCCCAGTGGCTCGAAGGTTGCTCCGGTTTGCATTTGCTGCATTGACTGCCCGATGGTTGCTACATGTGGACCTCTTCTGACACATTGAGAATGCCACTGAGAATTCAAAATCAATTAGTTGGCTGACCTCTTTGCTTTCCATTGCTGAGCTCAAGTGAGCTTGATATTCAGCATCGGTTACCATGTAACCTGAACCATCTGAGAGGAAGATGTCTAATTCAGGCTCACGCATGTTCATATGCTGAGCAGTGAAGTTTCCATCAACTACCAATCTCCTCATAACTAGCCACCTGCAACCAACAATTAGCTTTGTTTGACCTTAGTTAAGCTACAACAGAAACAGCGACCGGGCGGCTCCCAACTACTCCTGGCCAGCATTTAGTCTACCCTGGGTAGAACTGAGGCTGGCCAGCTTGATCCCCAGCTAGACTGACTGGCCAGGATATGTGATAGCAGCCGTAGTAGGTGTACTGGCCGGAGCATTTAATAATCAAACAACTTGCCTTTCATACTTCTGCTCCCACAGCAAAGGCATATTGATTCCCGGCTGTGGACACGAAGGGCAGAAGAGAGCCAGATCTCCTGGGCCAGGCCCTGATTCCACATTGTGGCCGAATCCAAACCATTTTCGGTTCTTTAAGTCCCGCCACAGTCGGGATACTCTCATGAGTTCACGGTACCGATCCTATCAATGCACGCTAGGTATTCAGAAAAATATACTGATCAAGTGCACTCAAACTCACTGGGACAGTATCCTGGAATGCATTATTAGTCAACCTTGTGAGTTTCTCAAAGAAGCTCCTCGCGGAGGTTTTGCATTCCAAGGCGTCAATGAGAAAATGATCCAGCACCTCGAAGGTAAAAGCAGTCTTGGGACGGGTGGAGCTGGCAGGAAATAGTCCAGCTCTTAGGAGCTGTAGATGCTGTTCGGAATCGGATCCCTGGCAATGACACCATGCTATATTATGCGTGAACACCCCAGAAGAATGTACAATAGTGACCAGGGTGGTATCATGGGGCAATGTGTCAACCTCCTGGTCACAAAGTTGTGAAGCTTCATACCAAGGGCAAGACTCTCCACCGTGTCCTAAGTACCATATAAAACCCTGGTCAGCTAGAGTGACATCCTCGAAGCACTTCCCGATCCACAATTGGATTTTGTGAAAAGGTAATGACTGATGCAACTTGATCATGCAAGGGCAACACCAGCCATGGTCTCCAGTGCAAGTCGAACAACTGAATATGGCCTCAGCACTTCGGCAAGTCTCGCAGGGGCCAGCACGGATAAATTGTTCTGATTCCAGGATGATGTCTAGATATAGATCTCGGTAGGCAAGATACTCTGCTATAAAGTTGTTTTGCATCTATATTATGTATTATGAGAAGAGAGTTATCTGTAAGATACAAATTGTGGGTTGTACCTTGGTTTTTCTTGCGTGCTGAGTAGCCTCTCCTTCTAGACCAAAGTCACCAAATGTCTCGATGTCTGGGAAATCCATCGAGGCCTCCTTTGCTCGCTTCCTGGGGCTGGAGGAGGAGGAACACCCTCCTGATATTTCATACAGTGGATCAGCATGAGATTCGAGCCACAAGGGCTTTCCCCTCTTTCCTGCCGTAGGTTTGTAGGCAATATAGTTGACATCCAGGTCTTTTCGTTGTGACAAACTACCCCTGTCTTTGAAAGAATATGAAACAGCCTTCAGACGGGTTTTTTTCTGGCCAGACATAACACTTGGACCAAGGAATGAGAATGAGCACTCTGAAATAAGGCAAGCAATGCAACTGAAAAACGATCTCCATCAAATCCAGCCGTATCTCCTCTTGATAGATTAATTAACTCTATTTACCGTCTAACTGCTACCCCCCCGCGCCCAACTCCACTTATTTTTCCCACCTTCTTCCCACAAACAGGTTTCGGACCTCTACCAGCCCCCACTCGCTTGAGAAAATCCTGCTCAATTGGAAAGCTCGGCCTTGGGATGTCCTGCTTATCGTGGACCTTATCCTTGACAAAGTGGGCAATCACAATCCTCTCACCATCACCCCAACCTGGGACTCCATGTTTCAACACCTTGCCTGCAATATATACCATAGTCCCAGGGGGGTAACCTAGTTCGGCGCCCAAGTCCGGCAGATCTAGTATGGCCTGGTTGGCTTGGCCAAGGCTAACCAGAAGGTCGTAGAATGATGGTGATGCTCCTGGATCTCGGTGATGGGGTGTCTCTCGATTGACAATTACCTCAATTCCCGAAAAGACAGAGGGCCAAACAACTGGTTTTGAGGTACGAACCATATTCTTCAGCGCAGAGACCGATTTGATGCCAGCAAGATACTGATCTGGCGCAATAATACTAGTAATAACCGACCAGAGTTGTTCTGGGACAGTCATTTCGGACAACCAACACCGAACCACAGGCGACCCAAGGTCGGTTGATTGGTACAAATGATCTTGAAGACGCTAGCTCCATTAAGTTACTTTTGTACTTAAACAAGCATAGGAAGACAAACTTACCTCTTGGCGCTGCATGAATCCACCAGGGCATAAAGTCACCCGCCCTGCTCCGAACTCTCCCCCCCCTGGAGGTATGACAAAACCTTGCGAACGCCAAGGGCTCTTTTCCTCTTCAGTTGCCTTGGCCAAAAACCGGTCTAGGACAGGTCTGAGCGACTTGACCGTGCTATTGACGTGTTCCTAAATATAAACAGTTACCCGGTCTTCGACTGCATATCTGAAAGTTGTCATACCATTCGATCAGGCACCAAGATCTCTGGCAAATACCAAGCGAGTATCCTTCCGTGCTTGTCAACAAACGTGGTCAGCTCCGTAACGTGGCCGAAGGAAGGGGTCTTGAAATATTTCGCAAGTTTCTCTCTTTGTTGGCTGTCAGCATTCAACGGGTTTGGTGCCACCTTAGCTCGGTCTGCAAAGCGGTGGACATCCCAATCCGCCCTTACTGGGGTCAAACAATCACAAACAGACTCTGGTGAAATTCAAATAAAAGCTTACAACTATTAACGGCGGCATAAGCTATGCCAACTGCAGCCCTGGAGAGTTCAATCTCGGCAATCTCTGTTGTCTTGACACCTATACCAGAACTGGAAAGCTGAACGTTCCGCCACTCGTTCCAGAGTCTCATCCTTAAATTTGTAGCAACTTAGCCTGACCAAACGTTAACTTAGAACTGGCTTACTTTGCTTTTTGTAGTGTTCTATCGTCCATCTTAGTATCTGAGAATAATTCAAATGGTGATGAATTCCGGAGTAGCTCATCTACGCGGCTAGAGAGGTTTTTGGACAGTTTTGTCACAGTATCCTCCATAGCAGAAGAAGCAGAAGAACAGAAGATTAATGGCGCCAGGAAAAATTTTCCAGTAGTTTGGAGCTAGGCTATATGGGGATATACCAAATGAGATTGCTAGGGCGATGTATGCGATGGCTTCTTGAGTACTTTAGCCGGATTTGAGGATAGGCTGTTAACCTCATGATAAGCGGAACTGGTAGGATGATGGTTTGTAGGAGACTACTGACCCCATGATATACAGTACAAGAATAGTTTAGTCTGCTTGGGTGCGCACTGGTCGGACGTGTGAGGTAATGTAGGTGATGGCTTCTTGAGCAGCTTGGACAGGCGCAGAAGACCAAGTCTGCCTATACCGCCATGCGGTTTATTGGGCATATCCTTCCCGCCCAGTACAAGAATAGAAGAATAGTCCGACTATTCTGGTACTGGGCAGCAAGCTTGGCAAAGCTGCTCAAGAAGCCATTGCCTATGTCACCTCACAGGTCCGACCAGTGCGCACCCAAGCAGACTATACTATTCTTGTACTGTAAGGAAGATAGTATAATGTTGGTATCCAGTACAAGAATAAAAGACTATTCTGATACTGTGCGGGCAAGCTTGGCAAAGCTGCTCAAGAAGCCATTGCCTACATCACCTCACACGCCCGCCTAGTACAAGAATAGTGAAACTATTCTTCTATTCTTGTACTGTAAGGAAGATAGGATAATGTTGGTAACCAGTACAAGAATAGAAGAATAGTCCGACTATTCTTGTACTGGGCAGCATACCAAATGGTTTCTTGAGTAGCTTGGTCAAGCTCAGACACAATCTAAACCAGGCGGCGGTATAGGCAATGGTATCTTGAGAAGCTTTGTTAAGCTTAGACGAATTTGAGGGCAGGCTGTTAAGCTCCACTAGAAGATCTAGAACAGCATGACTTACTCTGACGTTCCGACTTGTCAGAGATGCTGCTCAGAATTCTACTTGGGTGATATAGAGGTCAGTCACGTGACTTATTGTGGGGGCAAGACGGGGCGCCGCGGACGGTCACGTGACTTTTTACTAGGGGCGGGAAGGGGCGCTCAGCCTTTCTTTTGAAAGTTTTTATTAAGTTAAAGCTATTACAGGCCAAAGCAAATGTAAAGTAAAGAAAATAAAATACTAAGATATACGAAATGAGGTAAACTGGCTAATACAAAGCCTCGGCGGAGGGGCCCTCCCCACCTTGGCCTTGTACAGCAAACTACTACAAGAAAGAATTGAATATATATATATATAAACAGATTAAGAACAGTCTGCGGGCGCTGAGTTAGCACCTGTGATGTGAATATGAATCAGAATTACCTGATGATGAATTTCCAAAAAAAATCTGTAAGCGGCGGTCAGAGAGTGTTCCTAGAATAATGAGACAAATACCTTAGGCGCGCCGGTGCGCAGACCAGACCTCCCTGCCCAAGATTGATGAAGGAGGGTGGATAGGTACACCGGCGTGCACACTAAACCACCCCCCAAGCCCCCAGAGTGTTCAACCAGAGAGACTAGGCACGCCGGCGCGCACACTAGACCTCCCTGCCCAAGATTGATGGAGGAGGGTGGATAGGTGCACCGGCGTGTGCACTAAACCACCCCCCAAGTCCCCAGAGTGTTTAAACAAGGAGACTAGGCGCGCCGGCGCGCACACTAGACCTCCCTGCCCAAGATTGATGAAGGAGGGTGGATAGGTACACCGGCGTGCACACTGAACCACCCCCCAAGCCCCCAGAGTGTTCAAACAGAGAGACTAGGCGCGCCGGCGCGCACACTAGACCTCCCTGCCCAAGATTGATGGAGGAGGGTGGATAGGCGCACCGGCGTGCGCACTAAACCACCCCCCAAGCCCCCAGAGTGTTCAAACAGAGAGACTAGGCGCGCCGGCGCGCACACTAGACCTCCCTGCCCAAGATTGATGAAGGAGGGTGGATAGGTGCACCGGCGTGCACACTAAACCACCCCCCAAGCCCCCAGAGTGTTCAAACAGAGAGACTAGGCGCGCCGGCGCGCACACTAGACCTCCCTGCCCAAGATAAATGTCACTAGAGAGGAAGAAGCATTGTAAGCTTAAGAGTGCGCAAGATAGTACTCACCTTGTTATGAAAAAAAGACCTATGAAAGAACCAAACCGGCGTTCAGTAAGGATTTTGAGATAAAAAGAATTATACCTAAGTTAAATTGAGGCCGCTCATTGACCATTAACCGCTTACACAGCTGCAGCCTGTGTAAGTGGCTAATGGGATGAGCCGGTGGTGTTGAGTGGAGAGGAAGAATGAAAAGTCAACCGTGTGAAACATTGGTGACGCGGCTATAAGCTACAACATATTTGCCATTGTTTACAACCAGTCATGTGACTGCGGCAAGGTCCGGATGTGGTCGTGTAAACAAACAATTGTTTACACGACCACATCCGGACCTTGCCGCAGTCACGTGACTGGTTCAATCGGCCGGTACAGATTCTGCGTCTCGCACCTCTCTTCTTCCTTCATTCTTTTTACTAAGTTTGATTCTTTTTTAGGAATATGGCTAAGAATACCGCGAAGAAGCGTGCCGCCGGTGGGGTTGCTAGGCGACTCACTGGTCCTCTGGGATCGCCGGTTGCCTCTCCTCCTCCAGTAAGCCCTGAAGGGGAGGCTGGGGTGGTACAACCAGACGCCCACAGCTCGGTAAGTGCTTTCTTGGTGCGTCTATTGTTGCTAACGTTTGTCAGTGGTGCTTGATTTGCCGTGATGGCGCCGAGGGGGACGTTGTACTCTATGAGTGCAGCGCCTGCCCTCGGGTAATGTGCAGCAGGTGCCTGGACGTTCCGTCCGCCTCTTGCGACCTTGTTGCTCAACCGGACGTTCTTTTTTGGTGCCTTAGCTGTCATGCTGGGCACACCCTTAAGGCACCCGCGCCTTACTATGTGAGTTATTGTTTTTATATCTTAAAACAAACTAAACTAATGACTACAGGGTTTCTATAGAGAAAACCTGCCGGCTCAAGGAGGTAAACCTGCCCTGCAGGGTTTCCTCCAACTGAACGGCAGGTTCGAGACTGGATCCTGCGCGGTGTTGGCCGCTGCGCCCATCGCTGTCATCCACTTCATTGTGGGTGGCAGTAATGAGGTTGTGACGCCCGTGCCTCTGCTCTCGCACTATCTGGAGCATTACTTCCCCAACGGCGGGTACATTTACATTGAAGTCCCATTCGACGTCACCACGCACAAGAGCATCCGCGGATACACGCGTGCCCAGGACGCACACATCATCCAGCTCAAAACTCACCTCACACACAGCGGCCGCGTCTTGGCCTTCTTCTCTGATCACTCTGAGGAAGATAGCGGGTGGCTTTTTGCTGGGAAAGATAAAGGTAAATTTGTGGCTATGAGTGTCTCTCAGGTAAGGTCTCTATTATTTCGCATTTTTCTTGACTTATGTGACGTTTAGGTGCTATCTACTGTCCTAGGGCCCTATTATGGGATCCTCAGCGGTGCCACCATGATATTCCTAGTGTGCGGCTCTGTTGTGGCCCACGACGACGCCTTTAGCGAGCTCCAGGAAGCTCTACTCAACTACGGTGTGGCGTCCGCTATCATTTTCACCGCCGAACGTTTTCAACCCCTGGTTGCCACCAACTTTTTGCTCGCTCTAGCGGAGCAAGTGGTAATTGAGCAGCTCAATGTCCGCATCGCATTCCCTAGTCTTCTCTCCCTCTCCAGTCGCCTTGGACAACATACCAATGTCATTTTGATGACCAGGGATGACGCCGACGGTACGCCCATGCTCCTTGTCACCAAGTTTGCGCGTGCCCACCCGCAGACTCAACCTTGGGGTATCCCAGTCCCTTCGCAGTGCCCTCTCTGTGGGTCCACTAACAGTTGGTCCGAGAAGGTCGCGGTCAAGGTGTCCTATGAGTCTCTGGACCCCGATGTTCCAGGCGAGGATCCTGTGTACAGGTACCTATATTCCTGCACTTATCCTGAGTGCGGTAAGGCTCAGCGCAAGCCTTGCCACAAGTTTCACATCGAAAAACCACCTGGTTCCATTCTCAAAGCTGCTAAGACAAAGTCGTCTGGGTGGTTCCAGTCCCCTTCCACAACTTTTCCGGCACTACCTTTCATTGAGTCGGGCACCCAAGGCAAGTGTCCTAGAAGTTCGGATGGGGAAGTGTCTGCTAAGAGGATGAGGGTCTGATTTATCTCACAAATAGTTAGTTTGGTAGATGTTTGTTTTGCAATAATTCAACTTGATTTGGTGTGCTTACCCTATGTTCTGAGAGAGCAGTAATGACCAGTTCTGGCATCACTCTAGCAACCGGGTTGACACGTTGATCGGAGTCACGTGATCGCGTTTGTGTTGGAGTCGCCAACGGCCGACTCTTGGCTACGTTGTGCATACCCTTGACTTCGTTCTCCTGTCTTACTTTAATTATGAAACTCATCATGTCTGGATGGCACATATCTTTCGAGGACATACTTGCTCTCCATCAGAGTGACTTTGTGGCTGCATCTCAGGAAACGCGCCTAGGTATTCTGAGGACAGTCCGGGATCATATCATTGCAAAAAACAAGTCACAGGAGGAATCGGTTGAGTTGCCAAAGGCATTGAAAAGGTGTGGTCAAATTTTGGTATATTTAATAACTAATTTTACAGTAATACAAAGGCTATCAGGTGTTACTACTGCCAATTTTTAACCGATGAAGATGACTTACAGGCAGAAGAAGAGCTTTTGCGAGATGAGCAAGAGGACGGGACATCTAGCCTGTCCCCTGAGGAGAGGGAGGCAGGTGCCCGTCCTAAAGATGCGGCCTTCTACAAGAAAGAAGTTAGTGACTGGGATGTTGCCCAGAGGCTATTTAAGCAGGAGATTGACGAGTATGATAAGGAGGAGCAAGCGAAGTTAGGGGTAAAAAATGAAATCAAGTATAGAACCGGTCATGCTAGAGATTGGTTCAAAAACATAACCCCTGCACAACGGAAGGAGGTTGAGAATGCAAGGGAAAAGTGGAACAAGGAGGGTGCTCCTCCGGAATCGCAGACGATGTGAGTGTTTAAAACGACTATTCAGGTTCTCCTATTAACTACCTTGGCAGGTATCGAAAGAGGCACTTGAAAAAAATTCTGGAAGACTTTACCGAACAAATCTGTCGTACCATGGGATGTCAGGTTATGATCCTAGCCAGTCACAAGAAACTTGCAGACCAGACTCTAAATGTTGTGGTGTGAGTGTATTTCTAGCACTTTGGTCTTATGGTATAATGACGGTTTGCTATCATCATTTAGTCACGAGTCCAAGCCGGTCAACAGTAAAAAGCCCTTTACTCAGAGTTCACGAGGGAATAAGGAATGGATGTCTGAGGGTTTTGAAAAATTTGCGGAATGGTCAAAGTTAGAATTCTGTGAGTGTTTATTGTTCTAAAATTTTCACTGTAATTAAGGAACATTCAGACCCAGAGGAAAATGATGACGACTCAAATGACGAAGAGGAAGGCGATGGCAAACCTAGCCTACCTGACGTCATTTTGGACAAAAACGGTTACGCGAAGCTTCCCTCACGATCTGGAGTTGCTGCCAGAGGGCAACAAGAATTGGTGCGTCAGATATTCTGTGCATCTTACAGTGAGTGTTTGTCTGCTTTGCTGGTTTTCGTGCAACTTACACTATGTTATACAGAGGTCTTCACGGACACTACCAAACCCGTACCTTGGCGTGAGGTGGTGGCAAACCCCTCTCTCTACCTGGACCCCAATTCCGTTCCAGAAGGCTTCATCTTGAGAGACCCGTCTCATATGAGGGCCGAAAATATCAATCAGCTGTGGGCTCATTGGGCACATATTACAGTGACCTATCTCCGTATAATACGAGGGAACGGACATGCATAATATCCCATATGATACGGGCCAGCGGACCATGGGCCCATGATAAAAATATCCTCGACTATAACGGATGGGCCGGGAGGCAAATTATTCCCGATGGAGGCGGGTGGGCCCATGCAGGGAATATATAGAGTAGATGAGTGGGCCGATGTATATGAATATTAGGTAGACGGGTGGGCCGAGGTAGTTGGATATTATGCAGATGGGTGTATTAAGGTAGATGTGTATGAGATAGATGGGTAGGTACTTGTTATCACATTCACGGGTGGGCCCAGACACATATTAAATTAGACGGGTGGGCTGAGGGTATTATAAAATATTGTATTAGACGGGTAGGCCCAGACGCATATTAATTAGACGGGTGGGCCGAGGGTGTTGTATGGGATGTTGTATTAGATGGGTGGGCCGAGGGTGGTATAAAATATAGATGGGTGGGCCCATGTGTATCATAATTGTAGACATGATGGAGCTGAGGTAGTTGTACATCAACCAAATCAGAGGAGGTAATAAATCAAAGTTACCGAGTTCCCGGAGCAGCAGGTGATCTCCTGACATGGCCTTTGATGGTGCACAGGTTGTCTTGCAGAATTTGGAATCCGGGGTGCAAAGCTTGTGTTGCCCTACGAGACACCAAGTTCCGACCACCCAAATTTGGGTCAACCGTACCGACTTCTGAGTTCCAAGACCCGGGAGTCGACAAATGAATATCTGATAACCAGCACACTTCCAATCAGGTAGTATTTCATTGAGCAATGGATCATCCAAGGGGTCCCTTATCGGACTCGGTAGTCAATATAGGCAAATGATAATGAAAACATGAAAGTTGTTATTATGCTATTTTTCAAACCCGAGACCCTGAAACCCATTGTTCAACATGTCCATTTTTCACTCACTGCACAAATCACCGAGTTTCGAGTGCCGAAACCCAAAACTCAAAACCCGGTGTGCAACACATCGATTGTTCATTTACATTACACAGATCATCGAGTTCCGAGTGTTGAGCGCCGAAACCCGAAAATATGTATGGAACATGTCCATTTCTTACTCATTGCACATATCACCGAGTTTCGAGTGCCGAAACCCGAAACTCGAAACCCAGTGTGCATCATGTCCATTGTTCAATTATATTACACAAGTCATCGAGTTCCGAGTTCCGAGGGACGAAATCCAAACCCCGGACCCCGAAAATATGTGCGCAACATGTCCATTTTTCACTCACTGCACAAATCACTGAGTTTCGAGTGCCAAAGCATGAAACTTGAAACCCAGTGTGCAACATGTTGATTTTTCATTTATATCACACAAATAACCAAGTGCCAAGTGCCAAGTGCCGAAACCCGAAGCCCGAGACCCGAAAATATGTATGCAACATTTCCATTTTTCACTTGTTGCACAAATCACTGAGTTTCAAGTGCCGAAACCCGAAACTCAAAACCGGGTGTGCAATATGTTCATTGTTCATTTACATTACACAGATCATCGAGTTCCGAGTGCCGAGTGCCGAAACCCGAAGCCCGAGACCCGAAAATATGTACACAACATGTCCATTTTTCACTCACTGCACAAATCACCGAGTTTCGAGTGCCAAAGCGTGAAACTTGAAACCCAGTGTGCAACATGTTGATTTTTCATTTATATCACACAAATCATCGAGTTCCGAGTGCCGAGGGCCGAGACCCGAACCCCGAACCCCGAAAATATGTATGCAACATGTCCATTTTTCACTTGTTGCACAAATCACCGAGTTTCAAGTGCCAAAACTCAAAACTCAAAACCGGGTGTGCAACATGTCCATTTTTCAATTATATTACACAAGTCATTGAGTTCCGAGGGCCGAGGGCCGAAACCCGAACCCAGAACCCCGAAAATATGTACACAACATGTCCATTTTTCACTTGTTGCACAAATCACTGAGTTTCAAGTGCTGAAACCCAAAACTCGAAACCTGGTGTGCAACATGTTCATTGTTCATTTACATTACACAGATCATCGAGTTCCGAGTGCCGAGGGCCGAAACCCGAAGCCCTAAACCCAAAATCATGTACACAACATGTCCATTTTTCACTCATTGCACAAATCACCAAGTGTCGAGTGTCGAAACCTGAAACCCGGTACTTCAAATGGACACGAATTGTATTTGTATGTATTATCCATTGGTGTAGGGTTCAAATAACTTGGGAATTGTATTTGTCAGCACTCGGTACTCGGTACTCAGTGATTGGTGGTCAGTGGTCGGTACTCGAGACTCAGTAGTCAATATAGGCAAATGATAATGAAAAATGACAGTTGTAGTCCACGTCAAGGTGAGTGTCTTGGTAGTCTTTCCTTGTCATTCGGCAAAACATCAGCAATAATGAAAAAATGAAAGTTGTTATTATGCTTAACTTCCTTACCGAAGGTTGTAGTCCAAGTCCAGGTGAGTGTAGTGATAGTCTTTTCTTGTCAATTGGTTATCTTGTTACTCATTACGCAGTACTCGGTACATGGTAATTGGTACTCAGTATTTGGTTTTGATACTCGGTACCCGGGAATCAGTAGTCAGCTTAATGAAGGTTGTAGTCCGAGTCTAGGTGAGTTTATTTGTAGTCTTTTCTCGTCCATTGGTTACCATGTGACCGAGATATAAGCTAAAGAAATCCGAAACATCAATAATGACAAATGAAATACATGTGTGCAGTAAGTGAGTCTAAAGATAAAAGAATGAATATTAATAGCGAGACTTGCACATTATGTCGAGATATCCAACATAACAAGCCTGTGATGTGATCAGAGACCTGGAATAACACCCATATACATCCATTATAATAGCTTAAAAGCTTAGAAAGATTCATGAAGGATTGATGTAATGATAGGCAAAATGACATATGTGTGGAGAGTGACAATAGACATCTTTTATACAAAGTCACATTTATATATGATTCAGGCCAAAAATATCATTACAAATATGTAGGATAGATCGTAAACTACCCAAGGAACCCATACTGCCTACTGCCCTGAGGGTAGGGGGTGGGTAGAAGGGATATAGTGAAAATATGAGTTGACCCAGCATTAAAGTCCTACCACTGCTCAACTAACCATTTTCGATGCTTTGGGTCTTTGAAGTTTCCCACACTCAATTTCTTACCCATTTCACTTCCTCAGTACTCAATTCTTGGTTGATTTGTCTGTAAATTTATGTCTATGATACTTAAGATATTTGAAATGTACCCCAGGTTTCTGATTATGAAGATTCAATGTTTTGAAGGCATGGGCCCCTTATCAGGCGAAATGGCAAGTATACACACTAGCTCACAAACTCCAGCCTATTGTGAGCTGATCTTGGTCATAAGAAGCAAGAATATAAGCTATGCTCATTATATGTTAAAAGGTTGGATCATGGATGCAAGGGCAAGATACTGAAAATCGTGAAAAAATATCACAAGTGCAATTGTCTATGCTTTGTTCCTGGAAAAGGATCCTGTGTGTCCTGGGCTGGTTATATGATATATCTACTCCGAATATGCTCAGGAATAGACTCCCTACAGTCCTTGAGGTCCAGTCCTACAGGGAAAAAACCCCAGCAGGTGAACCACCAGAAGAGGGGGAGGTACACTATACAATAAAGGATTACCCTATGGTCCTGAGCTCCTGATACATTGTTTCTATTGTTGAATAGATGATTGAGATACTATTCACCTAGAAATGAACACATAGGAACATATTTTGTATTTTTATGTATATATGCAATATCCATTCAAGCACCAAGTCTCAACTACCGATTACCAAGTCCCGACACTTGATAGTTGATAGTCAGTATTCGAGCTCCGAGTGCCAATATTGCCTACCAATATCTCAGTCAAATGATAACCAAACCAAGACCCAAGTTCCAAACCTGACTACTGAATACCAAGTATCAGTACTCGGGACTCGGGACTATTGGCTGGAGTACCCAACTATTGATTCACAGGTACCGAGAATTAGAACCAAGTACTGAGTACCTGACTACTGATTCTTGGGTACCAAGTATCAGAACCGAGTACCGAGTACCCCACTACTGATTCTCGGGTATCAAGTATCTAACCAATTGACAAGAAAAAACTACCAATACACTCACCTTGGCTCAAACTACAACTTTTGTTCAGGAACTTAAACATAATAATAACTTTCATTTTTCATTATTGCCGATGTTTCAGATTTCTTTAGCTTATATCTCGGTTAAATGATAACTGATGGACAAGAAAAGACTACCAATACACTCCCCTAGACTCGGACTACAACCTTCGGTAAGGAAGTTAAGCGTAATAACAACTTTCATTTTTCATTACCATTTGCCTATATTGACTACCGACCAGTGGCTGAGTGCCTAAGCTTGAAACTTGAAATCGGTGGAAAATGAAATCTCGCAACAATGTACACATGAACATGTTTCATTTCCATAAACAATTCCCCGAGTGTCATGTACCGAGCCCCGAAACCCAAAGCCTGAAGCCCGGACTGTGTTGTCAGGTTAGTACAAGACACTCGGTGAATTGTCAAAGGAAATGAAACATTTTCATGTGTACATTGTCGCGAGATTTTGTTTTCCACTGATTTCAAGTTCCAAGCTTCAGCACTCAGCATCCGGCACTCGGAACTCGGAACTCGGCGCTCGGAACTCAGAACTCAGTGAAATGTCTAAGGAAATAGAAATTTCACAATTCCCTGAGTTAGTACAAGACACTCAGTGAATTGTCAAAGGAAATAAAACATTTTCATGTGTACATTGTTGCAAGATTTCGTTTTCCACTGATTTCAAGTTTTGAGCTTCGGCACTCGGCACTCGGAGCTCGGAACTCGGCGCTCGGAACTCGGAATTCGGCGCCCGGACCTCGGAACTCAGTGAAATGTCCAAGGAAATAGAAATTTCACAATTCCCCGAGTGTCGTGTACCGAGCCCTGAAGCCTGAAGCCGGGACTGTGTTGTCAGGTTAGTACAAGACACTCGGTGAATTGTCAAAGGAAATAAAACATCTTCATGTGTACATTGT